AAGTTCTCAAATAAAAAATAAAAAATAAAAAGATTTGTTGAAAATGTTAACATTTTTCTTCCTAACTCAATCAAACAAATATAAAAATTCAATTTTCTTTAGTTTTATTTTTATTTTATATTTTATCTTTTTATTTTATTTTATTTTGTCTGGTCTTTCAATTCTCTTTTTATTTTGGTTAACAAATTCAAGAGTAAAAGTATTATTCAATAAAAAGTTGTGTTTTTCTCATGCTTAAGTGGCATATTGTAAGGGTTTATTATTATTTTTTTCTACGAGAAACATGTCAACATATATTTTCTTAATTACATATAGAGTTATACACAAATTCAAACATAATTTAAAATATACTAACTTTACCTATTTTATATAGACTCTATTTGACAAATATTTCTTTTCTATATATTTTTCATCATAAATTGAGATAATCTACAAATCCAATACCAATTTTGCATTTCACGTTTTTCTTTTTAATTCTTATCAGGGTATTACGATTCTTTTTAATGCTAAATTATTTTATTTTTTTGAAAAATTTATCCATAAATCCCATATGGGGGAATGTTGATCTATTTAATTCTACGAGTTTTCTATGAACTAATTAGTCCTTTTTTATTTTGAAAAGTTATATTTATTTGATTTGGTGCCATTTAAGTTTAAGTGAATGTCCTTTTGTGATTTATTTTTTCGATTTTCTGATTCGTTTTTGGCATGAGAATGAAAAGATGAGGTATGGAAGATTTTTTTTGGGGGGTGTAACGCCCCAAAATAAATACGATAAATCTATCTCATAAGCGAAAGTATAATTGAAACGATATATTTTCATTAATCAAAGTTTGATATACATTTACGAGATGGTAATAAGAAATGAAAGCTACACAGATAGTCATGTGCCTTGATGGCTTACATCTTTCCAAGTTACTGCTTGGGTACTATAAAAATGAGTCTTAAGCTTAATATAGACAAAGCTCGAGGCTTGTACAAAATGAATGAAAAGCAAAATAAATAAATAAAAAATGAGCCTTTAGCTCCACGGTCCTCGCAAACTATGCCCTTGGCGGAGGCATGTCACCAACACCTAAAAATGGTTTTCCCATATAGGGTGAGACAAAACCCTGTAGAAATAATTCAATAGAACATATGAAACTTAACATATACAATGCCATTGATAAACTGATTCATAATTCTTTTGTAAACCATACAGTGCCAACCGTATATTTCAATTCATGAATTCAATTCTATTTTATTCAGACAACCAAGCTGAGTATACAACTCAACTGGTCTCTAATCATTACAGCCATCATAAAATCACTTCTAGTTGCCATTTCACGGATATATCGTCTGGGGGAATCGGCATGATGTGTACGTGCGGTTTTCGGGACTTTTACCTTAGACACACAGGCCAACTTAATTCAATAGAGTACATCATTTTTCTTTTCTTAAACATGGAGTACATCCCCTTTCTTCTCACAAATATCATACATTTACAATGTATTAAAGATATTGTCATATTCAATGACAACGAATGAGAGATTAGTTTCAATTCACCTAGTCCTCATGTAAATTCTGCAACAATCATAGTTATCCTCTACCGATAGCCCAAAACAGATATTTCTAAACAGACATACAATCTTCAAGACCAATAAACTATCCAAATTTCTATAGGTAAGAGATAATACATATCCAACTCCACCATTTATATAATCATCTATCTAATTTCACATTTTCAAAACCAATTTCATCTATTTGTACAAAACAAATGTTTGAGACATTTTAGGGCAAACTTCTCTCTCTTCCAAAATACAACCCAAGTATCAAAATCAACCATTTTATTACTACAGAACCTCATATTCACTCTCATATCCATTTTCAATACATCCATTTGAAAACACCTCTTTTGATTTTAAACTAAATTCCTAGATTTGTTCAGTATCCTCCAAATTCACAATAGTGTTTATTCAAAACAAATAACTATGTTAAGAGTCATACAGGAGTATAGAAAATTCCTACCTCAAGCTAGAAAACAAGCAAAGCAAGGAAAGAACTTGGATGAAGCCGAAATCCAACTCCAATCGAATGAAAATGTTGCCCTTGAGATGCTCTACCTCTTTAACAAAGGCACACGGGCATAGAAACCACTAAATCTAGGTGAAAAAACAGAGAGAGAGAGAGAGAGAGAGAGAGAGAGAGAGAGTTTTAGAGAGAGACTCAAGATCTAGGGTTTGAAAAAGTTTTAGAGAGAGAGAGAGAGAGATATGAAAAAGTAATGTAAAAAAAGACTTTCACAGTCTACTCGAGCGTAAGAAGTGACGCTGTCAGACACAATAAGTTATTTTGCTCGAAAGCAAGAAATGACACTCGAGCACAGATTACGCACTTCCAGTAGTTTTGTAGACGGCAAACCAATGTTCGAGTGCAAGAAGGGCTGCTCGAGCTGAGACCACTTGAGCGTAGAAAATACCGCTTAAGCGTAGAATACATCCTCCCAGTAGTTTTGCAAACTGACAAAAGTACTGAGAGTTCACAAAACCCGCTCAAGTGCAAGAAGTGCCGCTCGAGCGAAGGAGTGAAATTCTAGGCAATAAGAGTTTGAAAATCAAGCTACCAACATGTTCCAAACGTAACCAAAACAACCCAAAAGCCAAATTCAATGAGGGGAAAAAGAATAAAACAAGAATAACAATACAAAAACATGAAGCCCGAGTCCAGAATACAAAATGGGTCTCGTCTAAACCAGAATCGCTCTATGGGGATTGGCAGCTGGAGTGTTGGTTGTTGAGCGTGAAAATCTTCATTTCTATTAGTGTGGTTTTCTGGTGTTACATTGGAGTATTACGTTAGACTGCTACATTTGAAAAAGTTACACTAAGGAGTTTTTGTGCGTTACATTGATTGGAGTATTACGTCTGAGAAAAATACACTAAGGAGTTTTTTTGCAACGTTATGTTGTTACGTTTGAAAAAAGTATACTAAAAAATTTTTTAGTGTGTTACATTGAAGTGTTATATTTGGAGAAAGTACACTAAAGAGTTTTTGTGTGTTATATTGATTGGGGTGTACATTTAAGAAAAGTAAACTAAGAAATTTTTTAGTGTATTACATTAGAGTGTTATGTTTAGGAAAAGTATACTAGGGAGTTTTTGTGTGTTACATTAATTAGAATGTTACGTTTGGAAAAAGTACGTTAGGGAGTTTTTTAAGATTGTTACGTTATTACTTTTGATAAATGTATAATAATGAGCTTTTTAGTGTGTTACATTAAAGTGTTACGTTTTTAGAATATTACATTAGAGTATTACGTTTGGGAAGAGTACACTAAGAAATCGTTTTGAAGAGTTACGTTTAGTAATTTCAACATTATGATAAAACCCACATTTGTCCCTCAACACATAACGCATGCGGGTTTGTACTTGGCCATTTATGTAGTTTATATTAGAATGAGACTTTTGGGTCTATAAGATAAAAGTGAGGACCAAACAATTCATAAGATTACTATTTGAGATTTATTGATGCTTTACCCCCTCCCTTTCTTCTTATTTTTTCGTACATTATTCTATACTTAATACCAATTTTATATTGATATGCCATTTAAATTTTATAGTGATTCTATATATGAAATTATATTTCATTTTCTACATTATTTTATATAATCACAACTCACATGAGAAAAAACATGCACAAATGATACTCTTTTAGGAACCTCTAAAGTTTAGATTTATTACTTGAGTTACTTTTTCAACTGTTGAACAGTAAGTTTTTTTATATTTTGACATTATATTACAGATGATTAATAATTTCATTCACTGAGATGTATCTATCATTTGGATGTTTTCAGTATTTTTTCATTTTGAGTTTAGATATTATTATGTGATTATTTCTTTTTTAGTCGTTATTGAATTTCTTCTATATAGTTGATATTCTAATTTAATTAAAAGTGTTTATTTTACAATCTTATAATTTAATATATATATATATATATATATCATATAAAATCATTATATGATAATCCAACTACAACATGGTTTTGTTTAATTTTTTTTAATAAATTTTGTATAATTTCTATTTCTACGTATTTTTGTTTTTCAAATGAATATAAAAGAAAATTAAATAGTTAGAATTACTTTTAATTTTATGTTACTAATTCTTCTTTAATTTAACTATTATTTTTAATATCAAAATGAGTATTTATTTTACTATTTTATAATTTAATAAATATCATACAAAATTATTATACGATAATTACACTTATATAATACGATGGAACTAAAATTATTAAAATACACAAATAATTTAACTAAAATTAATATGTATAAGTATTCAAATAATAATTTTATAGAACGATGACACTAATATTATTAAAATAAATAATCAAAATCATATTTTAAATTTAAATTTTATAACAGACATTGTACCATCAAATTTTTTTGAAAAAAAATAGCACGTGCATTGTACGGTTCAACTGCTAGGTATTCAATAAAATGAAAGGAAATAAAAAGGACTAGATAATAGTTTGGTTCCTCAATTATAGTCATCTAGATGTAACAACCACCCCCTGAATTAATTGGGCTAATTATGTGATTAGTCTTGATTTTGTGTTTTATGAGAATTATGTGTCATGTGTTAATTGTTTTATAATTATATGAATTGATGTATAGAGAATAGGAAATAAACCTACCCAAATCAGTAAATCATAAGGTTAAAATTAAATATTTGAAATAAGCAATTAGAGCCTGATTTATAGTAGTACGTTTTAATTTGGTGTTAATTAAAGAGGCTTGTGATGAGAATTAGTTATTAAAAATTGAACTTAGAATTAGGAAGACCCAAACAAGGCCTAAATCTACTCATCAACTAAAGGTAAATAGAGATAGATAGTTTAGATGGACTTGAGCATTCTAGAACCAAAAAGGGGAAGAGAGAAAGAAATAGGGTTCAAGAAGAGGAAAATGGAAATTGAGCAACGAGAATCTTTGACTTTTTGGTATGGGTTGTTGGCTTTTTGGCTAATTTAGTAATTTTTTGGCTAATTGGCTAAAATAGCCTCTTGCCAAATGAGGCCTTAGTGTTAATTGAAGTGGCTTGTAAGGAGAAGTGAGTTATTAAAATTAAACTTAGAATTAGGAAGAGAATAAGAAGAACCAAACGAGGCCTATCCTTACTCATCAAATAAAAGGTAGTAGATAGAGATAGATATTTTGAAGAGACTTGAGAGAATTCTAGAGACAAGAGAGAAAGAGGGAAACCTAGAATTCAAGAAAAAGAAGAAAGGGGTTTGAGTAAGCTTCACCAAATCAATCATTTAAGGTAAGAAATTTTCCTTTAATCTCATGAATTAAAGTTGTCTTCATCATGGAATTATATAATCTAGGTAGGATTGAGGGGTGGAGTGCTGTAAATTGAAGTTAAGAACTCTCAAGAGAGGTGGGGTAAGACATAGCTTAAAATTGGGATATACATGGCATGATTCTTGTTCAAACATTTGTTTCTTGCATGAGTTTGAGATTTGAGGAGAAAGTTCATGGATTTTAACTTTGGCACTCAAGATTTGCATAGGTTATGATTTCATATGCTAAGTTCAAGGTTTTGATGTCTTAAATGAACATTGAGTTATAATTTGAAGTTATGATTTTTGTTTCATGAAAGATAGGTTTAATTCAACACGTTTTTAAGAGCTTTGGGCCTTGATTTTCATGAAATTGAAGTTGGTTTTGTAAAGGGGGAAGTTCCATGTTGCAGCAGATTTTCGAACTGGAAATGTACCTCTCGAGCGGCCTGGGCCACCACTCGAGCAGCCAACCTTATTTTCCTTAAAGTTGCATTCTATTTTCCTGCTGCTAATGCGGCCAAGGCCACTCGGCATGTGCGGCCTACGGGGTAGTTTTTTTTGGTTTCGTTTTCTTTCCATTTTTCTGACTTTCGAGCCTCCGTTTGCATGGTCTTTAAGTATTTTTCATATGCATGTGCATTCATGAGCATGAAAAAAATGAAAGAATGACTAGGATCGAGTTAGTGAATAAGGTACTGTAGACGTCCCCGAACGCCCCGGGAGGATGAGTCCCGTTCTGTTCGTTATTGGGCGTCACTACAGTTCAGACTCACAAATCGTCACGGTTCTTAATCTGAACCGAAGAGTCCAAATCCGGCAAATCGTTTTGAGAAAACAGATTTTTTGAAAGAAGTGCCAAACATGGATTGCTTTGCCAGATACAGAGTCGCCACCTAAATATTTATTTTGGAACATTTAGGAACCCTGACTCGTTGCCCAAGGCCACGTGTCCGTCATCACCAAAGTTGCCTCGGCTCGAGAACTTGGGTATTGATTGGGGAAGGTCACTCGTGAGCACCCCGCTCGCCGATCAAAGATCGGGCCTCTACTAACCATATATCTTAGTTTTTGAGAACTTTATGCGTTCTTTCCTGGTTATTAGCCTAGATTTTACTATGTGGAATGCGCACAGCATAAAGTATAGATCTGGATCGTTCTGAATTGGACAAAACATTCATGTTTATTTTGAAAAGTGGTTTGAATGGTGCTTACCGCAGTAGGCTAAGCGTGGATTTGGCCACCCTCGGGTGGGCTTAGAAAACATGATTTTGCCACT